TACCATCTACTTCACAATTCCCAACTCAGAGCAACTTTCAGCATTTGCTCATATCGATTACAATTTTGGTAGCAATATAATGATACTAGACAAGGTCAAATGCCAATACTAATAAGTGTTTCCATTACAAGGAAATATGTGATTCAAAAGTTTTAGACTGCAATTAGAGAAGATCTGCAATGGTAGGACCTAATGAGCCAACTTCCTCAAGTGCTGTAATGTTCTCTGTTTGATCCACTGTCTATCGTACGGTAGGTAAGCTTGGATCGAGTGATCATAGCTGCACAAGCAAATTGCCTTTGATTGAAATATGTATAGATTAATCAATCGTATGTATGTTCACACAAGGATAATCACGAAAATCCAACTAAATTTGAATAGATAGTTAATCTCCGAAGATATCAAGAATTCTATGGTGGTGAAGTTCAGTCGTGACTCGTGAGTCTGGTAACAGCTCTGCATTAGCCGACTCGCGCATATATATTATGAGTGAGAGAGAGAAAGAGAGATTTTACACTAGAGAGAGAGAGAGAGAGAGAGATTTTACAGATAGAGAGAGAGAGGAGAAGAGAGATTTTACACTAATGCACTTAAGTCAGCAAGCCCGTCAATGAAATTATAAAGATCCGAGATATCGTATGTGATGTTTCTTGAGGATGGATTTAGCTCCTTGAGTTTACGTTCATATAGACCGCAAATTCCTGGGATAAAAGGTTAGAACAAAAAAAACAAATAACTATAGTGTAACATTTCATTGTTTGACTGTCAAGGCCATCATTTGTTTGCAATCAAATTGTTTCCAATTTCATATGCTTGCTTGATTCGCCTAAGATGCGATCCAAATTCCAAACGCACGTGTACATATTCTTTTCACTCTTAATGCAGTAAGTCTTCTTGGGAGAGACACATCAACCATATAATCGGAATACACGACAACAATCCAAGAAGTACAGCTAATTTCGTAGTAAACAGAAACTTTTAACACACGTTCACCAATCAATAGGTGTAGTTTAAAACCATCCCATCTTTTTCTTTTTCTTTTCCTTTTCCCAAGACGAAAAGCATGTCGAAAGCAGAAAGGATCTAAACTAAAACCATTTACTTACCAACCTAACCACCAATCGGGATTTTTCTCATCTTTGGGGTCAAAATATGTTTATCCCCTTCTCAAAATCACATTCAGGTAGTACTCTTCACAATTTCTCTTTCGATGATACAATAACGATAATAATTAAGCGTGACTGGTATTAGTGGTATAGACAGTTGAAATATCTATTTAATGCATACCATCCATTGCTTGACTGATAGAATCGTAGTCCATGAAAGTACGACTTGCCCTGCTGTGAGACGCTTGCATGAGAACAATCGTGTGCCTGTTAGACTGCATACAAAAAACCGGATAACCAAACAAGAAACAATATATCAGTTTAGGCCCAGAAACTATAGTTTCGAAATACACAATATTTCTGGTGAGCATCAACTACCAATCATCTAAGCTGGTACATATATTTTACATCTGACAGCCTATACTTCCATAGCTACATATTGAAGATGAGAAAAACACATTTCAAATGCTCGGAACCTAAAGTCCTCACACAGAGTCCATGGCTAAAAACTTGAGCAAAAAAAAAAAAAGAAAAAAAAATCGATTTCTCAGTTTTCATCAGCGAAAGAAGATATGGCCTAGTAGTGTTTGACTTCACATACAAATAGAACATGTTGGAAATTAAAACAAGAACTCTCACTTGGCTTAATCAAGTTTCAATTTTCCTTTGCAAACACAATGAGCTTTGAGTCTCAACTATTTTTCTCCTCCACAATAATAAATCGCTTTCATCAACACAAGTGCTGGCAATAAATCCCTAAACCAGAATCTTACTCACAAACACTTCCACAACAGATATGTAAGAGGTAAAGAAAAACACCAATAATAGCATAGAGATGTAATATTTACCAGCGGCCATGTAAACATAAACCTCATAGACAATTGAAGACCACGAATTTAACAGGATTAAATTACCCCATGACTACACATCATGGGCTGTTCCATTAACAGAAATCCAAACGAAATATAGCCCCGTATTAATGAATCAATAAATCTGACACTAAGAAACAGAAAAGGAAACAAAATTTGGGGAAAATAGGTTGCTGAACACTCAGAAAGAGTGGTAACAGAAAAAGCCCTAGCAAAACCACAAACAACGTTCATGCCGAACTTCAATTTCTCTTTGCAAAGACAATGACCTTCTGATTCTCAACTAAAATTTTCCTCCACAATAATAAATTGCTTTCATCAAAACTAGAGTTGGGAATTAATCCCCAAACCAGAATCTTACTCAGAAATACTCACTTCCACAAGAGACGTGTAATTTTTACCAGCGCCCAGGTAAACAGAAACCTCATAAACAATTGAAGGTCACGAATTTAACAGGATTAACCCACGACTCCACATCATGGGCTGTTCCATTATCACAAACTCAAACGAAATATAGCCCAGACATAACGAATCAATAAATCCGACACCAAAAAAATAAAAAAAAATAAAAAAAAAAAAAGAGAAGAAAATTACTGAAGAATACTCGGAAAGAGTTGTTACAGAAAAGCCCTAGCGAAACCAGAAACAAAATTCACGAATACATAATACCATTGTGAAGGAACAAGAACAGCTCAAAGCGAGAGAACTCTTCAAGCTGAAGCTCGATTTTCAGCTTTGTTGTGCGTGAGCGTCGAAAAGGGTTAATATTGTGCTAAAAACCGTGCGTGGGTTTTCATGTCACTCAATTTCATGGCAACTGTTCAGCAATTATTATGTGATTGGATATAAATATTCTCGCTTTTGATTATTTTTATTGAATAAAGTGAGTTAATTTTGATTTAAGTTGATTCATATAAAAATTGAATAGTTTATTCCCAAACGCAATGATAAATATTTAAAAATTTATAAGTGATTGAATAGAATTCAAGTTGAAATGATATTTGATAAGAATTAATTATTATTATTTAATTATATTAATAATATTGTTGAGTTTTAAGTTAGATTAAAGTTGAATTGAATTATATGTTAAAAAGTATAAATGAATTATCCGGTCAATTAAAATTGGTAAAAATATGTAGCCAAGCTTTAGGTAGCCAATTTATCAGTTAATTAATTTTGATGCTCAATGTTGCATTTGTTAGTCGGTTTAGATTCATTATGTTAGTTGCAATGTTAATGTAGCGTAGAGTTGTTAAACAAAACGAGTCATTCATGACCTCAACTCGGCTAGGGTTGCTAAGGTACAACTCGGTTCCTTTGACAAACAAATCAAACTTGAGCTCGTAGAAAGCTCATTTCGTCAACGAGCTAGACTCGACTCGATAAGGCTCGAAAAGAATTTTTTTATATAATTTTTTATATCGTCTCATTAAAACTTGAGATTGGCTGATTAAGACTCGAAAAGAAAATTTTTATATAATCTTTTATATTGTCTCATTAAAGCTTGAGATCGGCTGATTAACGCTCAAACTCGACTCGTTAATATTGATAAACGAGACGAGCTTGAGCTCGGTTTCTAGCTCGTTTATAGCCTTAGGGGCTTTGGCTTGATACTGAAGATGTTATCAAGACGTTGTTAATGTAAAGTTGTTACACGAAACGCATTGCTCGTAATTTCGAATCATTATCATGAATCGTCTTGTTAAGACTCGAATTCATATAGTTACCGAGCTCGATTGGACTCGATATGGGCTCTATACCCTCGGTTTTTTTACACCTCTAGTGATTTTTGAATGAAAATTGAATAACACATCAAAATTTGATTAAAACAAACAATTATTTATTTCACATGAACTAACAGGCATGCTTATTTTTATAGTTTAATAAGTTTCACAGTTCCCACGCAATAGTATAGTCCTCGCCATATTACAGATAGAAGAACAAANCAAACAATTCAAATTCAAAAAAGAATTGCTAAGTTCTGACGTCCTTTCTATAAAACCATACATATAGATATAAACGTATGTAACCCTCAATGCATTCTCACTTTCTCCTTGTGAATAGAAAAAGAAAAAAGAAAAAAAAAAGCTCTTACCAACACCAAATCAAATCAATCAATCTTGACAGAAGAGTAAATGAGCCTGGTAAACCAGAAGCATGCGTAGAACCCGATCGTCCCCGTCAGCACGAAAAACGCGTACGAAGCAATCAACATATACCCAAAGTACAACGCGCCCGATACAGGTTTCGTAATATCGAGCTTCGTGAAGAAGTAGAAAACCGCGTACACGAAAAGGTACAACGCCGAAGAGCCCGACGTAAGGTACGACCTCCACCACCACAGATAGTCCTCGCTGCACAGCTGGAAATAGCACAACACAACCGTAATCTCCGAACAAGTCACCAACAAAATCAAGAAAACGATAAACAGAAACCCGAATATGTAGTAAAACTGGTTCAGCCAGATGGAGGTCAAGATGAAAAAGAGCTCGATAAAAACCGCTCCAAACGGGAGAATCCCACCGATCAGAATCGAGAAAACCGGGTTCATATACCAAGCCTGCTCGGGTATTTGCCTCGGGATTTTATTCGTTTTGACCGGGTCTTCAATAGCAGGTTTCCGAAATCCGATGTAGCTCCCGAGAAAAACGAGAGGTACGGAAATCCCGAACCAGAGCACGACGAGCGCGAACATCGTTCCAAACGGGACAGCTCCCGAAGACTTCTCGCCCCATATGAGAGCATTAAGCACGAAAAAAACGGCGAAAACGGTCAACGGGAAGAGAACCGAGGTTCGGAAGGCGATTTTTTTCCACTCGGTGCCTTTGAACATTTTGTACAGACGGGCAGAGGAGTAGCCAGCAAGGACTCCCATGAAAACCCATAAGAGGAGCATAGCTGTCATGAGTCCGCCTCGATTGGAAGGGGAGAGAAAACCGAGCACGGCGAAAATCATGGTGACGAGGACCATTCCGAGGAATTGGACGCCGGTGCCGACGTAAGTGCAGAGGAGATCGGAATTGGCGGGCGGCCGGAAAACGTCGGCATGGACGAGTTTCCAGCCGGTTTCTTCTTGGGCTTCTTCTTGGGTCTCGAGCTCGTTGTATCGGGAGATGTCGCGGTAGAGGGTTCGGAGCATGATCATGGCCACCATGCCGGAGAGGAAGAGGACGATCATTAGAGAGTTGACGATGGAGAACCAGTGGATTTGGTCGTCCGTCATAAGGAGGTACGTGTCCCATCGTGAGGCCCACTTGACTTCGCTTTCCTGGGGAAAATATGGAAATTTTTGGGGGAAGGTGATAATCAGATTTTTTTTTTTTTTTTTTTTTTGAAAATTTAGGGTATGTATTCAATCTATACTCAAAATTTAACTCAGACCCACTATTATCGATATTATAAATACAATTAAATAAATATCACCTTCACATCAACTTTATTTCACTATTCATCTACTAACATAATTTTAACTAACCATCGCTGCATATCATCACTCTTCTACTTTTACATCGAATCAACTTTTTTAAATATTATTTTAATATAAACTCAAAATCCAATAACAACTAACAATACCGCCTTTTTTTTTTTCAAAAATAAGTCTGGTTAATAAAAAGAACTCGTTTGAGCTAATCACAATTTGGAAGTTTGTTCTAAAGGACAGACATGGACTTCTGATTCTTCTTCTGATGAATTGATTTCCACGCAGGATTTAATCACTAATTGCTCGTTTCCAATTTATTCGGCTTTGAGTTGTATTTGGGAACACTACGGACTTCTAATTAATTGTCAACTACATTTTCTCTAAAATATTATATTTTCTGCCAAAACTCCCTTGGGTAAATGAAGGATAAACTTCAAACACAAGGAAACATTGGGGCTTCAGTTGATCAGGATAATATTAATCAGAAAAAATAAATAAATAAATACAAATTGACCAAAACATTTGAAGCAGAAGTATATAGATGAACTGTTTACCTGGAATGATACGTCGTAAGTGAATATGACTTCTTGTTGCTCTTCAACTTCTTGAGGGGTGTTTGAAGACGTAACTACACGCTGGGCATGTGGGTCACATGTAGTTAGGCGAGTATTTGCAGCCCATTCGCCTTCATATTCATGCTTGACACTTTACCATGGGACATACAACGATAAGCCCAATTTGCCTTGAATGAATAAAAGAGACAGAACAAAGTTCTTGAAAATAAATATGCTATCTTATGAAAACCGACCTATATGGTGTGACTTCAAAACCCACGATTCTTGCTGAATCCGTTTGTTGATCCTTGTGAAACTTGACTGTGAAACTCAAGTGGTTGTGCAGAAAGAATCTTTCTTCCTTGGTCTGGACATGGTAAGAATGCACAAAGAAAAGTAAATCTTGTGTAGAGATTGTTATATTCAGCTCCTTTAGATCATTAGTTAACTTACACCACTATATTGCCCTCTCAGCCCAACATGAAACCCCAACTGATAAATTGGAGGGCCTCCTTGATCTGATCTTGGTATCGGGACAACCAGAGGAAGGTTGTCTAAAATCCTGTGATACAAATATAAAGCAAGATATGATTGAAAAATATAAAATGAGATTAAAAAAATTACAGAGAAGCTGATTTATTTACTGTCACGTATAGACATACATGTTGATGCGATATTCATCTTCGATTTTTTCC